ATTCCTCCTTCCCCTCCGCAGCTCTGAACCCGGACACCCCCCCCAAGATCCCTGGAGAGCGGCAGGTTACAGGGTGGGTGGGGGGCCATGTCAGCCCCCTGACAATGTTCCAGATTGCCGAATACCATGACGACGAGGCTTTTGCGACGGCAGGGAAGGAGCCGCAAGATCCCAACCTGAGCCGGAGCGGGCACGCGGAAGAGAACAAGGGATCAGACAGCCCAGTTAGCAGCGAGAATCCAGGTGGGTCCCTCACAAAAAAAAGCTGAGATCCGCTCGTATCTTCTTATAGCACCCCGAGATCCACACTTATTCAGGAGAATAATTCCAAGCAGATGTTGTAGGACTTGCTTCGATAGGCTCAAGATTGTGAAAAACCAATTACATTATTCTGTGAAAATGTCTCCTGACACTTTATAGCATGGCTGACAAACAAGTAGCCTCCAGATGTTGATGGGTTCCACTCCTCGGAGATGATGGAAGCGGTGGTTCGCCAAGATCTGGACGTCCACCCATGCTCCTCCCTTCCCTTAAAGGCTAAAAGATCTATAATGTAATCGTATCCATGCTTGCTTCAAATTACGTCCTGCCACATCTGGTGTGGATTACAAGTTGGAAGGGGCCTGTAAGGTCATTGAGTCCAACCCCCTGCTCAAGGCAGGAATCCAAATCAAAGCGGATCTGGCAGAGGGTGGTCCAGTTTCCTCTTGAATGCCTCCAGCACTGGAGCACTCACTACCTCCCAAGGTAATTGTCGTACTGCTCTAACAGTTGATGATTGGTTCTATTGTCGTACTGTTCCAACAGTTAAGAAGTTTTTCCTGATATTTCGCCTAAATCTGTCTTCCTTTAACTTGAGCCCATTGTTGTGTGTCCTGCACTCTGGGATGATCGAGAACAGATCCTGCCCCTCCTCTGTAGGACAGCTTTTCAAATATTTGAAAAGTGCGGTCATATCACCCTTCCGTCTTCATTTCTCAAGGCTAAACATGCCCAGCTCTTTCCGTTTTTCCTCCTAGGGCTTGATTTCCGGTCCCTTGATCATCCTTGTTGCTCTCCTCTCAACTTGTTCCAGTTGGTTGGCATCCTTCGTAACGCGTGGCGTCCAGAACTGGACACAATACTCTAAATGAGGATGTTGTTTCTCAGTGGAGATGCATACATGCAAGTATAGAGGAAATGAATCTAAATGGCAGCTAGACCGGGATCAGGTGTGAATGAGATCAATCACGTCTCTCCAGATGTTCCTGGACTACAACTCCCAGAAGCCTTCACCACCACCTCTGCTGTCCAGGATTTCTGGGAGTTGAAGTCCATGAACATCTGGAGGAGCAAGGTTGGGTTCTCAGTGGAGATGCATACATGCAAGTATAGAGGAAATGAATCTAAATGGCAGCTAGACCGGGATCAGGTGTGAATGAGATCAATCACGTCTCTCCAGATGTTCCTGGACTACAACTCCCAGAAGCCTTCACCACCACCTCTGCTGTCCAGGATTTCTGGGAGTTGAAGTCCATGAACATCTGGAGGAGCAAGGTTGGGGACCACTGCCTTAAGAGTTTGTTAAAGACTGTCGGTTGGGGATCACTGCCTTAAGAGTTTGTTAAAGACTGTCTTGTTTGAAGAGGTATTCAAGGACATCCTCACGTAAGCTAATCTTGTATGTGTTCCCTCTTTCACCATCATTTGGGCATTTTTATCTCTTTTATCTACTTAGAGGTGCGTAATGTTGGTGGACGGTGTGGAGGGTTATGTTTTATCTACTTAGAGGTGTGTAATGTTGGTGGACGGTGTGGAGGGTTATGTTGTACTGTCTTGCTGTAAACCCTAGTGTTTTGCACTAAGTCAGCCATATAGAAATGCATGAACTCAAATACGAAAAATATCTGTGTAACAACAGCAATAATCTTAGAACTGGAAATCTGGATTATCGACACCAACTCCGCTGCCAGAGACCTAAACTATTGAGCTATCCAGCAGTTATTTCTAAGCAGAAATCAATTTTATATGAAATATGCATGATGAACATTTGCAGAGGCAATAACTGACGATAATGTAATTTTACTAGCTTTGAAATGTTGTTTTAAATCCTCAAGTGAAAAGACAGTATTTGCATAACAAGAGAGAGCCCTACTCTGAATCAAGCTCCCTGATTCATTTTAGCTCAACGGTTTCATACTAGAATGTTTTTTATGCCAATAAAGGTTGTTACTACTAGAGCGTTCCTTAAGATTTTCTGGTTGAAGAACAGCTAAGATTTCATTCTGCTCTGAATCAAACCCCCTGATTCATTTTAGCTTAATGGTTTCATACTGTTTTTATGCTAATAAAGGTTGTTACTACTAGTGTTCCTTAAGACTTTCTGGTTGAAGAACAGCTAAGATTTCATTTTTGGGGGGAACTGAGGGCTAAGGATGCTTAATATCGAATTCATGGAAATTTGTAGACCGCAGTGACATCAAATCATCTAAATAGAGTGAGATTCAGATTGCATTCAAGGTGGCCAAATTTCATGGTTAAATGCTAATAAAGGTTGTTACTACTAGTGTTCCTTAAGACTTTCTGGTTGAAGAACAGCTAAGATTTCATTTTTGGGGGGAACTGAGGGCTAAGGATGCTTAATATCGAATTCATGGAAATTTGTAGACCGCAGTGACATCAAATCATCTAAATAGAGTGAGATTCAGATTGCATTCAAGGTGGCCAAATTTCATGGTTAAGTATCCTTCTACGTAGTGATAGAATCGTCTAAACAGAGTGCGATTCAGATTACATTCAAGGTGGCCAAATTTCATGGTTAAGTATCCTTCTTAGCCCGTACTCATTCTGCACCATGAATGAAGTATTCTATGTTTGAATCCTCTCTGATGTTTAACAAAAATCACCATGGAAAATTAGCAGAGCAGAAAGGACGTTAAGCTGACTTTGTTTTTTTGGTTTAGCAAAATTGAATTAAAACAAACCATAGGATACATTAAAATACGAGACTTCCCCCTTTCTCCCATTTCAAGTTGCAGTTCAGAATGGACTGTACAGTGTCACTTTCTCAACCCTTGACCATAAAAGGAGTCAGTGTCTACCTCGGGTGACCAAATAGGTTATTTTTTGAAATAAGCACACATAATAGTGTGCTGTAAAGCTCAGACGCTTAATTATTCTGCTACAATTTCTTTAGCTGGAGGACCGCTTTAGTTATCCCAGCGTTCTTCCAAGCAAATACGCAACATCTCGCCTCTGCGTTGTATTTCCATAACTGTCATCCAAAGCTGAGATACACTGCCTATTCCATGTGCTTTGTTCATGTATAATATACTTTCTCAACATGACCTTGGACTACAACCCCCATTATCCTCAGGCCAGCAGGGACAATGGGTGATGTAATCCTAAACTTCTGGAGGGTCCCAGGTGAGAGAGGATTTTTTCCCCTTCATCTGTTCCATCATTCTAGGCCAGAAACAACTTAGTGCTGCTTGATTAACTTCGTATCTAATCTTAGAACTGCAAAGTCCAGCCCCTGCCATGGAAGAACTGCAGGATTTGAACTCCGAACCTCCGGCTCTGTAGCCAGAGACCTCAACCACGTTATGACTTGAGTTTAATGGCCGTTCCTTGTATTGTTTTGCTTCCTCCATCAGAGCTGAGGCGCCGAATTGGCTCAGACTCTCCCCTCCCGGATCCAGAGACCTCCGATGAGGTGGGCACCTCTTTCCGGGCCCGATCCCGCTCTGCCCCTCCCATCCTGTGGGCCGCCCAACGCTACGGGCGAGAGCTGCGCAGGATGAGCGACGAGTTTCACGGCGCACTGCAGGTGAGATCGGCATGGCCGTGGCACGCAGGTTAGCATTTCCTGGTGGGGAGGTAGGTTGTGCTTTTTGAAGGCGCATTGCCAGAAAGAAAACATACCTACTCAATAGGGCAGTGTGGAAATTACTCAGTTCATCTCATGGGTGCAGTAGCTAAAGTGCAGTACTGCAGTCAAAACTCTGCTCATGACACAGGTTCAATCCCAGGTAACCGGCTTGAGGTTCGCTCAGCCTCCCATCCTTTACTCCGTCAGTAAATTGCTTACTTGCCAGCCTTCTTTGCCGTTTCCTGTTTCATCCAGACCAGAAAACTTTGGAGAATGTCTCCAGCCAGAATATTAAACCATAGTTTGAACTCGGTTTAATATCCTGGCTTAATTCAAAGCCCGTTTGCCTTGATTTCCTGGCTTGGATTAAAAAGGGAAAACCGGACTCCTCCTGGTTTCTTCGCTGGCTTCTGCGGCGGGCCAACAAACATCTAATGCATTTCCCCGCTTGGAGAATCAAAACTATGATCATCCGAAGGTGCAGGAGCTTATTTATACAACTGGTAAACTCAATTTAACAATTTTGTCTTGCACCTACTCACAATATTCAACCCACCCACTATTACTTACCTAGAGTGGCCTCAGGGAAAGGCAACGATCTTTTCCTCATTCTTGTGATGCCAACAATAAATGAACCAAAAAAAACCCTGTAAAATCCAGGAAGCTGGAGCTCATCGGTCACGTATTCAGGCCTAAATATGAGTTTAAGGAAAACAAGGCAGCCCCACCCACCCCGTAGTTCTTATCTCTGCCCTGCAGGGCCTGATTCAGACATCCTGGGGTCCAAATTTGAGAGGCCTTGTGGAATTAGTCCCCACATGTTGCAGTTTTGGTACAGTGATCCTTGTGACCGTATCCTGTTGGGAGTGTTAAGGGCAAAAACCCAGAAGTGTTTTCCCCCTCTAGCATCTTCCCACGTACGTATTTTTCTGTGTATAAGACACCCCCACTTTTCTAACCCCAAATTAAGAAATCTAAGTGGGGCTTAGCAAGTGAAGGGGGAAAGGGATCAAAGCACTGCAGGATCGCTTTGATCCTTTCCCACTACACTTGCTAAGCCCCATGGGACTTAGTAAGCAGAGGGGAAAGCAAGGATCAAAGCCAGCCTGCAGCACTTTGATCCCTGCTTTCCTTTTGCTAAGGCTTAGCAAGTGGAGGGGAAAGCAGGGATCAAAGCCCTGCAGGATCGCTTCGATCCCTGCTTTCCCTTCCACTTGTTTTTTTCCCTCTCCTCAGCTTACTTCCGTGTATAAGATGACCCTCAATTTTTAGTCTAAAGATTTTAGACAAAAGTATAGTCTTATACATGGAAAAATACGGTATTTGAGGTGAAAAAAACGGTGCCCCATTCAGAAGCTGTTTCAGTGAGAGGCGACAAAAAGCAAACAGCCATGAGTTAATGGAGTGGAAACATCCAGATCCTAGAATCTAGTAGTTTGCAGGGAGGACGGCTCTGTGTTTGTGATAACCCTGCACTGACCTTCGTTTCTTCCTTAGAAGATGCCCCGTCCTAAGAGCGCAGGGACGGCTACCCAAATGCAGCGAACGTCCGGATGGAAGGAGACCCTCCAATCCTGGTGGCGCCGAAGTTCTCCGGGGAATGGTCTCCCCAGAAGTCCTTCGTGACTATGGGGTTCCCCCCCTTTTCTGCTGCTGTCTTGTTCCCAGGGGATGAAAGGGTGGAATGGGAATTGGGTGTTTTGGGGGGGGGAAGCATCAAACCTGTGGGATCCGTGTGGCACATATCCTTCTCTGTGGTGTTCCCAAAATATCCTGGGGGTGGGTCAGGGTCATTCCCCAGAACATCCATCTCTGTTCCTCTACAGAAACATTTTCCATAGTCCTCACACCAGCCTTCCCTCCCCCCCACAAGATGGCACCCTCTGGAGGGCACTGTGGACTACAACTCCCATCCTCCCCAACTTGGGGATAATGGTAGCTGGAGCAGAAACCCTCTGGAAGGTACCATGATGGGGAACCCTGCCTCACACTATTAAAATGTTTGGGGATTTTATCTTTTTACATGGGATCACATTCCTTTACCCTCTGCTTCCTCCCCACCCCCCCGACAGCATCTTACACCCCTCATTTTTAGGGGAGCTTGCCCTGCCTTTTTTCCCAGAGAGAATGTCTTTCTGGAAGGGGAAGGGGGTTACTACTGCTTTGATTACTGTCACAACAGGCCTGAAAATGTCTTTTTTCTTTTTCCCTATGGAGAAATTTGTATGACCTTTAATTAAAATTAAATGTTGTTACTTCCAGCTTGTGGGACGTCATTATATGGGGGGGGGGCAACTTTCGGGGAACGGATCTTCTAAGCAGAGCATGGCAATAAAGCCACAACAGGAGATACAGACCTAAATCTTGACATTTAAAGAGATTTTGAAAGCCTTTTGAGTTCTTATTCAACAAGACGACTCCCTTCACCCCTTGTATTTTAGGGTCGCATACAGAAAGGCAGGCAAAAACTTCATTTCTCATCTGCTTTTTGCTTTGGGGCAATTAAAATCGAGGCACATCTCAAATTGGGAGGGATGACTGAATTTCTGGATATTCAGTTGGAAACAGGAATCCTGCACCCTTGTCTTCTCTCCTCCACCCTGCCAAGACTCCTAAGCCACATCACTAGGATCCCAGCAGTAATGTTTTCCACCATCTAGCCCATTCAGTTCTTCCATATCCATGGGGCTCAGCTCCCAGTTCCAGAGCTGGCCATTTTCGGCAACGCGGCTTGGGTCGGCCGACTTGGGGATGACACTCACCCCACGCTGCAACGCCCAGCGCAGCAGGACCTGAGCGGGCGTGCGGCCTCGGCGCCGGGCCACCTCGGCCACCTCCGGCCGCCCCACGAGATGGCCGGTCCCCAGGGACGAATACGCCTGTACATGGATGCCCCGTTGGCCACAGAAGTCGAGAAGCGCCGACTGGGCCAGCTCTGGATGCAGTTCGATCTGGAGGACAGCCGGAGGGATTCGGCAGTCTGCCAGCAGTTCCTCGAGGTGCGCGATGGTGTAATTTGAGACCCCGATGGCCTTGAGCTTCCCGGCTTCGTGCAACCTCTCCAGCGCCCGCCAGCTGTGTCGGCGCCGTTCTCGGTTCCCGGCATCTTCCCGAGGCCGGCCTTGCGTGCCCGGCCAGTGAATGAGATACAGATCTAAGTAGTCGCAGTCCAGTTGCTTCAAACTTTTGAGGCACGCCAATTCAGCCGGGCCTTCTCCGTGGTCTTTCGGGCTCAGCTTGCTGGTCAGGAAGATGTCCTCGCGGGTGAGGCCGTGACGGGGCAGCAACGCCCTGAGGGCACGGCCGAGGGTGGCCTCGTTGCCATAGACGGCAGCCGTATCCACCAAGCGGTAGCCATTCTCCAGGGCAGCGTCCAAGCTGAGGCGCACCGTCTCCTCGCCTGCAAACGGAAGGTGCCCAACCCCAAAAGGGGCATCGGCATTCCAGTATTCAGCCATACTGAGCGCTCCGGCACCCTGGAAGGAAGAGGAAAAAAGGGAGCGTTAAGATGTCACCATTCCTCTTGAGAAAGTCATGCCGAATAAATAAAAGAATCCCAGGCCCCAGAGTCATCACGCTGCAGACAGAGCAGGAAATCCACCTAAATGTGGCTCGCCTGGGAAAAAGGCCTACCTCGGAAGGCTTTGAGGTGGAGCTTGGCCTAGCTCCGTCCAGACTTCCTGTTCCTGCCCCAGTGCTCCCTGGGAGCTTTTTGAGCAGGAAGCTAGGCCCAGCTCAGACTCAAAATCCGTCCAATTTAGACCTTTCTCCCAGATGCATCGCATTGAGATGTTTGCAAAGTGTTTGCAAAGTGTCTGCAAGACGGGTAGGACCCTTCAAAATGGAGAAAATCTGAAAATCCCATCTCCAGTCATTACAGTCGTGCCCTGCTTAATGATTACCCCACATTACGACAAATCCGCTTCACGACAATGATTTTGCGATTGCATAACAATGTTTTAAATGGGGTTTTTTCGCTTTGCGAAGATCGGTTCCCTGCTTTGGGAACCGATTCTTTGCATTACGACGATCAAAATAGCTGATCGTTGGGTTTTCAAAAAGGCTGCTGGGTGCTCAAAATGGCTCCCCACTTTGCTTAGGGACGGATTCCTCGCTATACAAGCACCAAAAATGGCCGCCGTATGGAGGATCTTCGCTGGATGGTGAGTTTTTAGCCCACTGGAATGCATTAACCGGGTTTTAATGTGTTTCAATGGGTTTTTTGTTTTCGCTTTACGTCGTTTTCGCTCTACAGCGATTTCGCTGGAACGATGTAATGTCGTTAGGCGAGGCACCACTGTATTTTAACCTAACCAAGCTTTAAACATCTCATCTTGAAATCTCTGCAGGGATTGTTATGAGTTGGGCGCCACTTGAGGGTACATCATGCATGCACAACCAACTCAGAATAATGGCAAGGAATGCCACCCCCACCCCATGTTTTTCACTGCAGTCTAACAACCTTATGGAGGGCCACCGATTTCCCCAGCCAGGAGATGTATGAGCAAGGTGGTAAACCTCTGGCACTACAGATTCTTTTGGATTACAACTCCCATGCTCCTTTATAGTTGGCAGTAAAGACTGGAGATTCTGGAAGTTGCAGTCCAAAAACATCAAAGCTTCCTCCCAGGGGACAGTGAATCTTTGAGATTTTTGGGCTGCAACTCCCAGAATCTCCAGCCTCTAACGCCAACACTAAAGGACCATGGGAGCTGTAGTCCAAACCATCCCTGCAAGATTAGGAAGTAGGCCGTCCCTGGGTCTCAAGTTAAGACAAATCCTAACATGTGGCTATGCATTTCCAGATGGTATTAATTCTTCACTGAACTGCTATCCCCAGCAAGCCTCGTTTAGGAGCAAAATTAGGAATTCTGATAAGTGAGTTTCTAGCCATTTTCTGGTTTTTTGTTTGTTTGTTTGTTTGTTTTTTAAAGGTGGGTGCAGTTGGGGGAATGTTCCAGCTCGGGGAAAGCTGTGAATAAGAAACTGTAGTGAAATCAGACCTCGTCTCTCTCCGTCCGGCATTCTTCCACCTCCAATTGGCTCTCGTGTTAAAGAGTTCTGTTGCACTCAAAAGCTTACTGCTTGCATTGCGACGATTTCTTTTTAGAATGGAAGAATGATGGGTTTTTGAGTTTTTGTTCCCTCCTCATGCATTCACAGGGCCGCTGCTGGCTTGTACCCGCTTTTAAAAAGAGCCTTTAAAAAAAAAACTGAAGGGGTGTTTTTTTTAAGTTTTTATTTTATTTTATTTTTTGCACCTGGATCTACTATCAGGACCCAGAGAAATGGAAGTGTTTTGCTCAAAAGGAGTTTGGCCTTCAACTCCCATCAGCCCCATTCCTTCGGTAGGGTCAGGGGCACAGGATCATGGGAGTTGAAGTCCAAAACCCAGCTGGAGGCACGACGGCTCCCCACCCCCACCCTTGTCACGAGGCCGATTCCAACCCTTGCAACAGTCGGGCAAAAATCCCACCGACCGCAGACCCACGGAATTCAACAGCCCGAGTCAATGCAAGGCTGTCGAAACGCGGGACCTGCGACGGATCGTGGAAATGCTTGTGCACGCATCTCCCTCGCCTCTTCGCACGGGAGGGGGATAACCAAGGGGTGAATCCCCCCTACCCGCTTCTTATGCCCCCTTCCCATAACTTACCAGGATCCGGGAAGCTCGCGCTCCCTCGCTTTCATGGCGCCCCGCGGATACGTGTGAACGCAGCCAAACCCAAACCGGAGGCGGACGCGGGCGGCCTGGCCAATCAGCGCTCTGGGAAAAAGTGAGGGGCGTGGCTTTAGAGGGGCGGGGACGTGAAAGGCCGGGGCATCAAACGAAGGAGGGAGTGAAAGGGCTGGGGAGGCAGGGGAATGTGTACACGCGTCTACGTGTTCACACGAAACCCCGTTCCGTTTGCAGCTAGGCAGTGGTACGTGCAATGGGCTGCCTTTGCATTACTTTCAAAGCATCTGCTCAGGGGACTTTAGGGGCCCTCGGGGAAGGGCTGCACCCCATTGTCCCCATTCCCACGTTCATGCTTTTTGCATTTTAAAAAGGGGGACTACGTGCGCTAATTTTTGTGAAGTTTTAGTGGGTGGGACGCCCATGATTCATTTCCAAAACTATTTCCTTGTTTAGGACCATCTTGCCAAAACTGGTGCACCCTGGGAGTGTTGGACTACAATTCCCATTGTTTACTGACTGTGCATGATGAGCGTTGTAGTAGGGCAGATCCAGAGGCACCTGGCTGGGAAAGTTTCCCCCCTGAGAGGTTCACAGAAAATTTAAAGATTAATCCTAATCTCATGGATGTCTTTTTTTGAATTCAAAACAATTCCCTAAAGAGCTAAGAAAGATTTCCTCGACTCATATACTGTAATAGAATGTATGAAGTGTACAGAACCATGGGACCTGTACAAAATCAGGGCGGGTCCAGAAAACACGATCTATTTTAATAAACATTTGAGCATTTGTTGAAAAGAAAAAAGAAATGCAAATTAGCAATTGGCCCACGCAAAATCCATGCAAACTCCAAACAGTCGGTAAATGGGTGTTTTTAAGAAGAAACACAGAAACAAGTATTATAGCCACCCATGAAAGGCTCAAAACATGCCAAAGGACTTTAGATCAAAACCCAGCTTGAGGGGGGGGAAAAGCCCCAATATGATCCCATTTCAATTATTTTTATCATAAACTGGGAGCGAAATAGAATTTCCCAGGAACCCCATATTTTTGCAAAAGGTGTCCTGATCAGAATGCAAAAGGTTTGACCCTAGCGGACAATTAAGAGCTGTTAACTTTACAAAAGCCCTGCTCTTCACTTGTTCCTACACACCGATCAAGCTGTCTGCATTTTTGGACTCACCTTTTAGGGCAGGATGGTTATGGGCCTGATGACCTCTAAATTTACTTTCCGGTTTACTACTACATTAGAGCTTCTGTGGTTGCCCCTGATGGCCTTTGGGAGGTGCAACATGGAAAGGGTAGTGGTGAGGGCGGGGGGAGGCGGCTCAGCCAGCCCCAGATTTAGGGAAAGAGGCACCATCTCCTCCCAGCCCAACTGAGTGGCGGAGGATGAAAATGAACTAAACTGGGAACTGTCACTACCCCCCCCCCGCAGTGTAGGCTGGTACAGGTAAAGGTAAAGGTTCCCCTTGACAATTTTTGTCCAGTCGTGTCCGCCTCTAGGGGGCGGCGCTCATCCCGCTCTTCAAGCCATAGAGCCAGCATTTTGTCCGAAGACAATCTTCCGTGGTCACATGGCCAGTGCGACTTAGACACGGAACGCTGTTACCTTCCCACCGAGGTGGTCCCTATTCATCTACTCGCATTTGCACGCTTTCGAACCGCTAGGTTGGCGGGAGCTGGGACAAGTGATGGGCGCTCACTCCGTCACGTGGATTCGATCTTACGACTGCTTGGTCTTCTGACCCTGCAGCACAGGCTTCTGCGGTTTAGCCCGCAGCACCACCACGTAGGCTGGTATGCATCAAATATATTCATCCCTGTTGAAAAGGGCTAAATCAGCTGCCTCTTGAAAAACTGGTTATGTATGTGACCTACAACTCTGATTAGCCATGCTGGCTGGCCTGCTCTGGGGATGGTAGTCCAGCATAAACTTTCCCTGGTCCGAATAAAATTACAGTGGTGCCTCGCTAGACAATGATAATCCATTCCACTGAAATCACTGTTTAGCGAAATCATTGTCTAGCGAAAAGCATTTCCCCATTGGAATGCATTGAAACCCATTTAATGCGTTCCAATGGGGAAGAATCGTCGTTGTCTAGCGAAGATCGGCCAGAGGAAAGCCACTTTGCGAACTGATCAGCTGTTTAAATCACTGTCTTGCGAAGCTTAGGTCCCGAAAACACCTGTTTTGCGAGCGCGGAGGGAGCTGTCAAAATCGTTGTTTAGCAAAAATCAGTTTGCGAAGCTGGGACCAAACATTGTCCAGCGAAATTCCCCCATAGGAATCACTGTTTTATGAATCACTATAGCGATCACAAAAAGCCAATGTCTAGCGAAAAAACTCATGCGGGCTAACTGTCTAGCGAGGCACCACTGTAGTTCTATTTGCATCTTGTGTTTTGTCCCGAGAGCTCAAGGGGGCACACTCAGGGGTTGCCTTCGCCCTGCTTTGTTCTCACAACGATCCTGCAAGGGAGGTCCAGGCTCCATTCCAGTCCCATCCCCACTTTTTGTTGGAGTTTTTTTTTTTTGCAACCTTGCATGCTGCCTCTAGGAAGTGTGGCTGGGAGGGACCTTTCTGGGTGACTGTCAATCTCTCCAGTATTAACCAATCATTCCTTCCTACCTCTGAATCCAAAGAGAGCCCCGCCTCTCTGCTCAGTTCTTTTTCTGTCTCTTTGTCTGTTGGAAGCTGGTACAGTGGTGCCCCACTAGACGCTTACCCCGCATGACGTCGAAATCGCTTGACGATGACATTTTTGCAATCGCTATTGCGATCGCAAAATGATGGTTCCAATGGGGGAAATCCGCATTACATTGATTAGGAGCCTGCTTCACGAACCGTTTGTTCGCTAAACGATTTTTCCGATTCTGCAAAATGGCCTCCCTCTGCAAAATGGCTTCCCTCCCTTCACAAAATGGCTGCTTTCTGGACCCCTGCTTCGGACAACAGCGATTCTAAAGAACTGATTGGCGGTTCTCTATGGGCAATGTTTGCTGGACGATGAGGTATTTCCCCATTGGAACGCATTGACCAGTTTTCAATGCATTCCAATGGTTTTTTCCGCTTGACGACAATTTCGCTTAACAGAGACTTCAGGGGAAGGGATTATTGTCATCAAGCGGGGCACCACTGTAGTCTGTCGGACGTCTGTTGTTGAAAGCAGTCGGGTTTTGTCCGTTTGCTGTTTGATATTTTCAATTGTAAGCAATGAAAGCTTTTATTCTTTTTCTTCCTAATGTCTCAAGAGTGAGTTACTGAGATTGCAAGTCCCGGTTGATGAAAAAATGGTGTGGTCTACTCTGGGAAACTGGAAGCTATTCTGCTCTGTAAATCCCTGCGCTTCTGCTATGGCGCCAGGGGAATTTAACCAGATTCAAAAACTCTGCAACAATTTTGCCTTCAAAGTGACAGTCAACATTTTGAGCGTGCTCTGCTCTGAGTGGGTTATTTGGGAGTGACAGTCAACATTTTGAGTGTGCTCTGCTCTGAGTGGGTTATTTGGGAGAATGCATTGCCCGCCCCAGGCTCACCCAGCAGCAAATATGTAAAAGGTTCCCCCATTTAGAATACAATCCCCAGAATCCCCTAGCCAGCAATGGCTGCTGATGGGTGACCTAGGGGATATAGGAATTGTAGTCCGACATTTACGCAATCCACCCCAGAGGATCAGGTTGGCTGTTGTGAGAAGCAGGATGCTGGCCTAGGTGGGCCAGAATGTCAAAACATTGCATTTATGGACAACAGCACCCATAACTCCCAGTTTATACTGTAGGTCAGTGTGATCCAAAATTTAGTTTTTTTCCCAAGCTCAGAGGGAAAAGATATTCCTTCAACATCATTCTTGGAAGGCCCTGAAAGAATCTCTAGTGGTCTCATTGACACTCCTGGCCTGCTGTTGTCGGCTCTGTGCGATGTAATCTAATTTGTCTCATTATTGTTATTTAAAAAAAAAACACCAAATTACAGTTCCACCGGAACGGCTTTGGCAACGCTGAGCGAAATTGTCCTTCCAATAAAATATCCTCGGATCCGAATTGGACAAAGTACTCGGGCAGAAGAGTGTATAAGTTTAATACGTTGGGCAAAACTTCAATTTTTTGACACCCTTCTTTGCCAATTTTTATTTTTTTTAATTGAGAGCTGGGGGATGGAGCGAAGAACAGCCTCAAGGCGCTCGCAGTGGCAACAAGGAGCCATCAGAGGGCGCCACACACCGCAGGTTGGCTTAAAAAGCGGATTATTTTGATGGGGGGGCGGCAGAAATATACATCCACTGCACAGTTCCCCCCCCCCCAAATTTGGGATGAAGAAGACGCAGGAAAAAGTCTCTTTTTAAATTGCACCGCATTGCATTTTTTTCCACGCCACATTTGCCCACCAAATTCCAGATCTTATAAATTTCCCCAAAAAATACAAAGGTAATAGATGTGTTTTACATTCCTCAGCACTCTCTCCTCGATCCCTAAACCTTTTGAGGGAACACACACATACATGCCTGCATTCTTATATCTCCAGTGAGGTGGCCCGTCTCTTCCCGGCCCGACCACCTTTCCTTGTCCGGCTTAAAACAGCTTTCGATCCGCCGCAGGATCCAAGAAACGGGGAATCCACTGGATCCCGCCTCCTCCCCCCCACGATCCCGCACCTCGAATAGGCAACCCCAGCTGCCTTAAAGGGAGAAACCATCCCTCCTCTCGAGTAGCCGCGGGAAACACAGAAGAAGCCTGTGTGTGCAAGCTGATTCAAGCCTCCCGACCAAGCTGGTTGGGTGGCACTACACAGCCCATCATTCCCCCCCTTCCTGGCCGGCGGGGGATGATGAGGTTTGCAATTCGAACCAGCTGGATTTGTGCCTCTCCCTTTCTCCTGCCACGCCATCGGGGATGTCTGTCTGTCTTGTCTGCCTGTCGCGGCAGGAGGGAAAAAACACGGAATGGGGACACGTGTAGGAGCCCATCACGTCTGGATGCGCGCGCGCAGGCGCCTCCTACGGCAAAAAAGAGAGAGAGTGTGTGTGTGTGTCATTAATGCGTCTGGAAGCGCACACAACACAACGAGATGCTCCTGCTACATAACCTACGGGCTTTTGTGTATATAAATATCAATAAATCGCTGGCCAGCCGCCACGTCGCGCCGAGATGTGAGCGGAAAAAAATGAGATGATGACGGTAGGGGAGAGGTGTTTGGACGGAGGAAGGAAGCGAGGAGCAGACGGGGACAGAGCTGATGCCGCCCCCCCGCTTTCTCTCCCTCCGGCTTCCCTTCCTTCCAGCCCCCACATCTTGGCACGGGCGGGCAGGCAGCCAGAGAAATGGCCCCGCCGTGACCGGAATGCAAAAGCATCCTCTTGCTGGGCTGGGCTGGTCAGGATCGGGCCCCCTCTCTTCTGCAGGAAGCAGACCGCTCTGCTGGGGGTGGGTGGGAGCCCCGATCTGGGCTGCCCAGCCATGATCGACCTTCCTTTCCCCCCCCGGACAGATACCTGTCTCACCTGGGACAGGTATGCAGACCTTGCGGAGTGGAGACGGGAAAAGATGCTGGTCGCTGCGGCTCACCCATCCTTCAGAATTTCCCCACCGGCAGGAGGATGCTAGACAGTAGCAAGGAGTTCCGCCGGCTGCTGGCTCTTCTACAGCTCCCTGTCCCTCGGGTTTCCTAGTTGGCTTTTGGAGAAGGGGGGGAAACCCACTTTTTAAAGATAATTTAGTGTGGGTCCAGAACTACGACCGGGAATCTAGGCTGCTCCCTGTTCATCAGGGTGGGGGAGACCAGGGGTGGCTCAGGAAGTTTTGCTGCCGGAGGCAGAATGGCAGAAAATTTCCCCCCCCTCCCAAGAAATTACTAGCAGGCTGTGACACCTCAGATCTGCCGCCTGAAGCAGCTGTTTCACCCCCCACACACACACAACAGAGCCGGCGCTGAGAGGGATTATTAAGGCTTCCCTTGCAGGGGCGCAAAATAGTTCTCTTTGGACATCACCGGTCAAGCTTCTAGGAGGCCTTCCTGTTTTTACTTCTGTCCCCCCCCCGATGATGTTTCGGACTACAACTCCCATCCTCCACAAGGCGCACTGGCTGAGGATTCCGGGAGGGGCAGCCCAAAGGCATCTGGAGACTCTTAGAGAATTCGAGGAAGGGGCGGGCGGGCTGGAGACCTTGCTGGAGTTTTTAAAAAAGTAACTTTCCCCGTCTTGGTTGGGGTGGAGAGCCGTCCCAAGACATGGGGCCGCCTGAGGTAGAGCCGTCAATTCCCCCCCCCCAAATCTAAATCCAAGGTGCATCGTGCGCAAAAATTTAAAAAGGCCAAATTGCTTTTGGCACACGAGACAGCGGAAATGCAAGAACAGCCAACGAGATCCTTAACCATATATACTGTACTTTCATGCCCTCTTTCCCAGGCAGCTCCTTAAGGAACAAGCTTCCCTTTGCCCCATGGTGGGGCCGGCCCCCCCGGGGGAAAAAAACCCCCCGACTCGGAACGGATGGGTTCAATTCAGAGAGAAAAGAAGGGGCTAAGCTATTTCTGGTGGATCAGAAGAGGGCAGGGTCTCCAGGTTTCTCCACCAGGAAGCCTCCCCCTTTAACTATGGGGAGGGGGGGAAGAGACCCTTATTCTTGATTCCCCCCCCCATGCTCTCTGTTTCTTCCTCCTCCTTTTGAATCCGTGCTGGATTTTACGGTGCCTCTACCCCCGCACCTCTCCGGGGATAAAAATCGATCGCCTTTTATGCCCGATGGACTATTGGTCCCTAGTGAGGTTGCTG